TACTTGCACCCAATCCAGAGACGACATTGTTCTTCAACTACTCGGAGATACGAACCTGATCCAGAAAATATGACGATAAATAAATACACACATATTAYAAATTAATCACGTGTAATTAAATTAACTTACACCTTTTTCGTGGATCACACATTAAGAATTTAATATAAATCTTTAAAGTTTAATGTATTTCAGAAACGTCAATAACCTTACCAATTTAGGCAATATATATATGATAAATTAAAAAAAAATCTAGTCATGTTTTATACATACAAATTATTTATGCAACCTGCTCTAAAGCAATATTGTCGATAAAACACTGTGCGACGATTACGATTAGGTTCGTTGATTTAATAATAGTAATATCGTATTTTCATATCGGAGACGTGGTTTTGAATTTTGGTGTTGTATTTGGCATACTTTAATTATTGACACGAATCAGACGTAGCAATAGAAAGAAAGAAGTATCATATTATATAAGAGTAATGTGTATATTATATGCTAATCTCAACGATTATTGTCGTTATCGAAAAAACCTATTACTTGTTTCCATCGGCAGGTGATTGTAATAATAGTGTTGTAGACTAAATAAATATTCGCCATGTATATACTACATTATAATATGTGTTAATGGGAATTAAACAGTCTCCTGATCATAACATTATGTATATTATTATGTATACGATATAACGAACGATTTACGTTCACGAGCGTCATAATTATTTTAAAATGTCGTATCCGCGTTACATTAAATATTATTTTTATTATTATTATTTATTATTGGTATAATATAATGCACGTTCGTTTTCATATACGACTCTAATATTTGAATATGTTAATATTTATTCTTGATAAATTACTGATGTCTGATGGAATAGTAATTAACGTTAAAAAAAAATTTCGAATGTATCTATCACCATTCGGTGTAGTCAGTATATATAGGTACAACAAAAGAACTCAGTTCGTTATAAAACAATAGTCGTATCTCTGAACTAATTGAAAACAAATCGACGCATGGACGATACGGTTGTCGAATAAATTATGTCGGGCGAGCCTGTGACAATTCGACTGTGAATTGTGATATAATTCATGGCGTCTCCGTCTTCGCTACAGTCGGAAACTAWATCAACATCGTCTCTCGGTAAAATACATCAAGCTCGTCGTTTTAATTAGGGGCGTGTCGCGTTTTCGGGGATGAAAACTTTATATAAGTCTGTGGGTGCAATGGATGCATATTTTGCATCTAGTAACCTATAATAACGATACACCACATCGGTATAATTTTTATAATCGTTTGAGGCTGATTCGGGTGTTCGAATACCAATGTCCTATATATATAATAATAATAATGAATATGACTATAGGTAGGCAATCAGTTAAAAATTCAAATGATTTTGATTTATTAACTATATTATCTATCAGAGTGATG